TTCGTAATCAGTCTTCATCGTCTAAGTATCGAGCAGAGTTTGTTGTAAGTATATTTTCCTTTGTTGTAAGCATATCTTTATTTCTTGTAACCTTTAGTTTTGTAATCTTGTAACCTTCAGTTTACCGTATAACGAATGAGTAAAAACCTCTGAACTGTACCCTGGTGTGTACAGTAAGTGTCCAAAATGATGTAAATTTGATGTAAATTTGCATCATTTTGGACACTTACATAATATTTACATCAAATTTACACCAACCTTTAAAGTGCGCGATTTTTTCCATTGCATTTAATCAAATGACATTGCTACAATCCTGGACAAAAAGAGTTGAGAATGTTTTAAAAATCGCTGAATGTTGGAATGTCTCCGTATACTTTTTATTTTTTTCTTGCCTCCCCCGGTCCCCCTTCACTCAAAGTTGTGTTTTAGAGAGCACACATATCTGCTGGATTCTGTTTAAGTGCTAACAACAGTATTTTTGGAGTAGAGAGGATGTTCTGTTGAACTGACTTGAAGGGTGTAGTTATTCTGATCTATTCTCAACCTTTTTGTCCAGGATTGTAGCTTCTTTTTTGAAAAAAAAAAAAGATGAAAATGCAATGATGGCGATCTGTTTCAGGGTTTCTCTGGATGGGAGGATACTCCTGCACCAGAAGACGAAGCAGCCCCAAGCCCGTTCATAGACGAGCCGTGGAGGAAGATCAAGGGATGGGGTGAAAGGTATGATGTCTAAGACTTACACGTTCATTTGCAAACTCTCCTGACTACTAAAACATAACATTAACGTATACGTAGGGTGCATCATCAAAGCAGCTCGCTTATCATTCAAATCATTTTTAGTTATGTTTTAATTGCTGAATTGTGTTTCACTTCCCCTCTATTCCTAAGCTCGAATTATTATAAATTGCTAACTTTTTTTAAGTAATGGCCCGAGTAAGAACTCGGGAAGCAAACGGCAAAATAATGCAAGAAGGTGCTAATTGTGTATAGACCCCTTGCATGTGACGTCAAAGCAGCTTCATCTGGAGGACAAAACAAAAGATTTTTAACCTCTTGGGAACTAGAATCCATTGTTTTGTCCTCCAGTTGGAGCTGCATTCCCATGACCTGCAAGGGGTCTATTGTATAATCCATCCATCCCATTGTTTTTAAACAAGAAAATCTGCTATAATTTCACAAGTTAACGCATTTTCTAATATTTTATTTAATATCTGATTCCGACTTCATGAAAGCTTTTTTTAGCTACAATATTAAGGCAATTCTATGTGGAAAACATAGCAAATTAGAAGCTTTTGTAGGCTATTGTTTTGAGTGCTTATGATTGGATAAGAGTTTTTAATACAAAAGAAACTCTGTTTCAAAATAGCGTTTATCCACATTTTATTTAAAAAATGTGTTAGCCATAAATTGATATATAATCAGTGTGAAAACCAAGACATTCGTATGTCAATGAAATAAAATGTGGAAAGATATACTTGATTTCAAAATGTCCACACTTCTCGACAAAAGAATTCACCCAGATCGTTGCTTTCCCCCATATTTTTGCCGTATTTCTAATACAGTATCATCTTTTTCTTGTCTTCGAAATATCAAAGCGAAAAATCATCCTGTTTTCTTATTTTTTCCTAAAAGTAAGCCTCAAAACGCTTGGACCAGATCAGGAAGAGAGATTTGAGCCATTGAGATGCAGGAGATATTTGTTTTGTGTCCTTAACTGGGTGATTTGAGAAAATGCAGCTAGCCAATCAGCGCAAAGCTGACGAGCTTATGTTGTAAACATAATCCTCCGAGCAGGAGGAATTTGCACTGCAAAACTCGACCCAGTAGAGTAGGCTGCCTGTCATTTTATTCCATCCGCAAAATCGAAGCTAAAACGCAAAGAGAAATTGAAAATCTTTATAAAATAGCTTTATGTCAATGTCAATCAAATAGTGGGAACTAGCGGTAAACTAGTGTGAGCTGCGTCGGTGTTTCTAAAGAAACAGTTGTGTAGGATTAACGTCCGAAACGTCAGTAAATTATTTCACATACTTTTTTTACGGTGTTAAATTTATCTTTTTTACACAACTGTCAATCAAATAGTTATAGTTATAGAAATAGAATTTTATCTTAAAAATGAATAACAAATATTTTTTTTCTTTAAGACCACGAGACTCCCCTCCCTGATGATAAAAATAATTGTCCTGTGTTCTGTGCGGGTTCTCCATTGCATGCGGAGCAATGGCTGACTTCAAGAAGACTTCAGAAGGTCGTTGAAGCGACGTTCAAGTCCAAAGTATCTTTGGAGGAGACATCGCAAATCCTTTTTCGCAGCTCTTGTTTTCTCTAAGCTTTGAGGTATCTACAACATTACCTGGAAGAGCTAGAGCAGCTTATCTCCATAGCGTTTAATATTTTTTGGTACAAATCAACTGTCGTAGTTCATCCTTTGTCGCATTTTCGGCAATAAGCCGCAAGCGTGCTCGACGATTTGACTTTGTAACAGGTCAGTTACACATTTACTAGCTTTGAACTTACTATACAACGAGAGCTAGAACGGTGACTGGGGTTTTTAGCGTAATGTCTTGATAGCGACTGTTTATGTCGAAACGACGCAAAACAAAATTCCATCGTTGAAAGAAGTTCCCTTCTGAAAAACAAGTGTGTATTTGAGGTGGAAAATGTTTCATATGAGCATTCCGATACTTAAAGGTTTAATTCTATAGTTTAGTTATGTATAAATAAATTCAACACGACTTGAACTGTTTGTGTGAGTGAAAGGCGAGCTGCGGGTTTTCCCTTTTCTTTATTTACACTATCAAATATGACCGCTTCACAAAAATGCACGGGCTCGCTGGCTTTGGCGAATACTCCAGTTTCGAATTCATAGCGAATAACCGCTGCTTTATTTGACAACAGATTCTCTTGCGCAAAGACCTTACAAAYACAAAAGAGAGCASGAGAAAATGTCGTTGTTACAATAGACTTGAAAATTTGCATTTTCCCCGAGTTGAGATTATCCCTGTATTCCCATGAGCAGGGTTAGCCTCAACTCGGAGAAAATGTAGATTTTTAGCGCTCTATTGTATTAACAACATTTTCTCGTGCTTTCTTTTGTCTTTGGTAAGTTCTTTGCGTAATAGAATCTGCTGTCAAGTAAAACAGCGGTTAGTCGCTTTGAATTCGAAACTGGAGTATTCATATGCATTCATTTGCATTTGGTCGCAAATCAATCACCCAGATGGAGAAGAAAACATGCTGGGAGAAGCCGACGGGTTCCTGGAAGTAATATATCTGTTCTTATGTCCCTGCCAGCTGTAAGCCACAACTGGTTGCCAGCGAGAATTCAGGAAAAAAAGGAATCTCGAGGCAAGCAGCAACACTTTCTAAGAATTTTTGCCAGGAAAATACAAATTTCCTAACTAAAAATATAATATAAAAATTAGGTAAAACCTAAAAGCAGAGCTCCCAAATAGAGATATGCAATGCATGTTGGATAAAAATGGGATGCAAGGCACATTGGTCAGACTAATGTGGTTTGTTAAGACTAATTTATTTTGGCAAACGAAAAACTTTCATATCACTACATTAAATTAAACTCTTTCTTCTTGAGCTTTGTCGATTTAAAGTAGTGATATATAATATGTAAAGAAAACAGCTCATTTTGAATTCTTGTAATATTGTGTGCATTCATCAGATAGTGCACAATTTATTATGAAGAGTACGCCATGTATAATATGTTACATTAATCTTTCTATCAAAAACATAATTTAGTTTATTTACAAAATAAAACTTCCTTACTAGTAGATAATATTACAGCAATCATAAATTAATATTAATTATTAAAATATATTTTGACAGTTTGACATTTTTCAATCATGCAGGAATCATAAATTAATATTAAGTTCATTTTGACAGTAACTTTTTGGATTTTTTCAATCATTACAGTTTTGGTTTTTTCAATCATCCAGAAATCATAAATTAATAATTATGTTCAAATGTTCAAACTTTTTGATCTTCTAATGATTATGTTACAGTTTTTTGCTTACACCAAAATCATTTAATAAACAGAACATTACAGTTGTTGCTTAAAGATATAAATTTTATCTTGAAGTTTTGAATTTATGTCCATCGAGTGAGCACAATATTTCCATGCGACCATGTAATATCTTCTAATTTAATCACACAGGAATGATAAATAATAATAAATACATTTTGTTGGTTGATACTTTTCAATCATACAGTGATCATAAAAAATGATTATGCAATTTGACAGTTTTGATGGTTTTTCAATCATTCAGGAAACATGAAAATGATTTAATCACACAGGAATAACACTAATCAATACATTTTTTGGTTGATATTTCTCAATCATACAGTGATCAATCATAAATGATAATAAATAATTACATTTTGACAGTTTTGTAAACAAAGGAATCATCAAATGATAATATAAATGAAAGTTTTTAAAGCAACTTCTAAAATTCTTTGTTAAATATCAAGTCTCTCAGCTTTTTAAAATGCATAGAACTTAAAACATCCGAGTAGTTCTGTGTCAAAAAAGATTATAAAGTAGATTGCACACACGTATTTTCATTGTCCACAAAATGATTTAAGCCTTATTGAGAAGTTTTGAAGTCAGGTGAAGATTTTCAAATTCAAAACCAAATTTAAAACTGCTTGTGTTTCCTAAAGTAGTAGAATTGATATTTGAKCATCAAAAAACGCTTGACAGCTCCCATACTTAATAGTCATAATCTAACATACCGACACGGTATCGTCGGAGAATATGTCAACTCTCCTCTGTGAAATTCTCCCTCAAAAATCGTTGTCTTTGGCGTTCATTTTCTCGATTTTCTTCATGTTTCGTCTATACTCGCGTTTTCTCTCCCTTTCAAGCCTGCATTATTCGTCACTAAGACTACTAAGACCTCTTCTACGTTCTCTTTCTCTTCTTCTTGTCTTTTCTTGTTCCGATAAAAAGCGTACGCGTTGTTTTACAGAAAATTTTTGGCGCAGAAGGCCAGGTAAGAAACAAATGTCGTTGAGGTGAGAAAAGTTGTTTCAAAAGTTGACGCGAGCGCGCTTCTTTTTCCCGCCTTGTCAAAAGCTAGCCAATCAGAATCGCGATGTACACGGACGGACGTACGTATGTATGTATGTATGTACGGAAGGACAACTGGGCTTCCTGTGTCGGTTGATCAAAACTCAGCAACCTCGTTCCCAGGGTTACTCTGCTCGCTTTTTTCAAAATGGCGGACAGAGATAGCCCTGGCATTGGCCGGTCACGTGACACCCACTCTCAGTGGGTGTTTAGTGTGGATTACCGCTGAATGCAGGCGCTATTTGGTTTTGGAAAATGATAATGTTCGGAACAACATTTAACTTTTTTCAACTTTTCAAAACATTCTGAAAAGCTAATTTTCACATGTTTTTAATGCAATCTGGAGGATTTCCGCCAATTTCATTAGATTCCGATCCGTGTTTGAATGCACGTCCAGAAAAACTTCATCAAAGAAAGAAAAGGAAAAACTTTAGTCAATTTTGAGGGTTTGTCAATCCAGTTTAGCAAACTGTGGCCCTAAAAGAAACAGTCCTGACTACCTTTTCGCTTCAAGTGATTGACAGCAAGGAGAGCTGATGTTCCAGGAAGCTTAAAGGAATGTTAAAGATCAAGAGGAAAAAACAGCGGATTTGTGAACTCTCTTTTTGAATTGTCGAGTAGTGTAAGTTAACCTATA